GAGAGTGGAGGAAGTGAGGATGAAACCATAGGCGAGAGGGAAAGAGTGAGCGTAGGTTACGCTCAAATGTGACCTGTGGAGGATCGTGTGTTGCGTCAGGAGTCAGTTTGAGGTTAAAAGTTATGAGGAAGTGGTCTGAAGTGTGCAACAAATTAACTAAAGTGTTGTCAGTGTTGTCAATATCCCAGCAATGCAATGCAGCATGAATAATTACGCAGATTACGAATGTTTTTATATGTATTTATTTATTTTTGTGGTGCATTTTAATTGCATAATTGAACAATCCTTACTCAATTATGCAGTTAAGATACGCAAGGATTATTCAATTCAATTTGATTAATGGACATTAAAATTTACATTGAAATTAAATTGCGTAAATCTTTTTTTAAAAAAAGTGCTCCTCGCTGCAGGCTGTTTCAAAGTTCACTTTCCTCTCTGCCTGAATTCTTTTCTTAGTATTATAAAACAGAAATTCCGGTCATACAGACAAACAAAGAGGTATCGACACACAAAAAAAACAATGCTGTTTGAACTTGCATGACATGTATGCTGTCTTTCACGTTTTTATAATGTAAAGCACTCAAGCAGTGACAGGTGACTGAACAGTTCTGTGTACAGTAATAGTAAAACAAGTATAAAAGATGTTTGAACTACACTAGACTGATTTGCACATCCTTGTCTCCCAACAATAAAATACTGTTCATTTGTGGAGGACAGACATAACCTCTGCTATGATTAAAAATAAAATTAATTAAAAATTGCTATTGCAACAGCCCGACAATATCTGGCAAACAATTTTTGTTTAGGCATAAGGCCATGTGACACTGAAACTATGATTAGCTTTATGAATTATCCAATAAACATTCTGAGATACAAGGAGCATGAATGCTCCGACATGTATGCTCTCGTTCACGTCCACATTTCCAACCTAGCACTTTCTTCTAAAACTTGATTTACTTACAACTTCTAAATAAATAAATAAAACATTTTACAGTGTACAAATCAAAAGTTATGGTCCGGTTCTTATCAAAGACTATTTTTTTTCATAGTAAAATAGACTTTACTGTACATCTCACAACTGTGAATTTATTTCTTGTTATTGTGCCATTGTACACTGAAAAAATTTGGCGCAGAAACCATTTTCACTCAGAAATTTCTAGTAAATTTCACAAAAAATTACAAGTAACATTAAATTAAACATGAATTTTGAAGTAAAAAGTACTTCAGTAATTGGTGAAAAAAAATGTTACAGTGTAAAAAAGATCTCAGAACCCAAGAAATCTCTTAAAACTGTACTTTACACGTGTCTTAATAGCCACTTAAAGCAGCAACATTCACAAGCACAAAATGGATGTGGCATCACTGCTGGTGGCACGGTAAACTGTAAAAAAAAAAAAAAAAATTGATTTTTCAAAATTATGCATACCTGTAGTATTTCTCCCTTTTAGAGCATTTAGGGTCATGAATGTGAATGCAAAGTCGACACAAAGTTTTGATGTATTTTGGAAAGGCTGTACATACATGAGAACTTAAAGACTCAAAAGTTTACTCGAAATTAAAGACTCAAGATGACTCAGTTTTGAATCGTCATCTATTTGTATCTGTGTGCAAATAATCAGCTAATTTTGAGCATAAAAATGTGGGTCAAATTGCCCCCAACACAAATAAAGCAGTTCATAATTTCCCATATTTTATATTTTTAGTCTCTGAAAAGCTATAGAGGTTTTCTGATTTTAAATGAATCTTTAGCTTTTTTTCCATAGTGTTGAATTCTGACAAATTGCATGGAAACCAACAGGAGGATTAAAGCTGCAATTACATTTACAGAAAATAACTAACGTATGCTTGTAGAATAAACATAATATTATGATTATAGTCATCATTATACACTGAACAAAATTATAAACACAACACTTTTGTTTTTGCCCCCATTTTTCATGAGCTGAACTCAAAGATCTAAGACTTTTCTATGTACACAAAAGGCCTATTTCTCTCAAATATTGTTCACAAATCTGTCTAAATCTGTGTTAGTGAGCACTTCTCCTTTGCCGAGACAATCCATCCACCTCACAGGTGTGGCATATCAAGATGCTGATTAGACAGCATGATTATTGCACAGGTGTGCCTTAGGCTGGCCACAATAAAAGGCCACTCTAAAATGTGCAGTTTTACTGTATTGGGGGCTCCGGGGGGGACCAAAAACCTGTCAGTATCTGGTGTGACCACCATTTGCCTCACGCAGTGCAACACGTCTCCTTCGCATAGAGTTGATCAGGTTGTTGATTGTGGCCTGTGGAATGTTGGTCCACTCCTCTTCAATGGCTGTGCGAAGTTGCTGGATATTGGCAGGAACTGGAACACGCTGTCGTATACGCCGATCCAGAGCATCCCAAACATGCTCAATGGGTGACATGTCCGGTGAGTATGCTGGCCATGCAAGAACTGGGATGTTTTCAGCTTCCAGGAATTGTGTACAGATCCTTGCAACATGGGGCCGTGATTTACGAGAAATTTACTATGAATTTCTGACTGAAAATCGTTTCTACAGAAGTGTAGGCATCTAAAGGTCGTGCTCCTCACTGCAGGCTGTTTCAAAGTTCACTTTCCTCTCCGCCTGAATTTATTTCTTAGTATTTTGACACAGAAATTCCTGTCATACAGACAAAGAAAGAGGTATCGGCACACACACACACACACACACACACACAATGCTGTTTGAACTTGCATTACATGTATGCTGTCTTTCACGTTTTTATAATGTAAAGCACTCAAGCAGTGACAGGTGACTGAACAAGCCAGTTCTGTGTACAGTAATAGTAAAACAAGTATAAAAGATGTTTGAACTACACTAGGCTGATTTGCACATCCTTGTCTCCCAACAATAAAATACTGTTCATTTGTGGTGGACAGACATAACCTCTGCTATGATTAAAAATAAATTAATTAAAAATTGCTATTGCAACAGCCCGACAATATCTGGCAAACAATTTTTGTATAGGCATAAGGCCATGTGACACCGAAACTATGATTATCTTTATGAATTATCCAATAAACATTCTGAGATACAAGGAGCATGAATGCTCCGACATGTATGCTCTCTTTCACGTCCACATTTCCAACCTAGCACTTTCTTCTAAAACTTGATTTACTTACAACTTCTAAATAAATAAATAAAACATTTTACAGTGTACAAATCAAAAGTTTTGGTCCGGTTCTTATCAAAGACCTTTTTTTTCATAGTAAAATAGACTTTACTGTACATCTCACAACTGTGAATTTATTTCTTGTTATTGTGCCATTGTACACTGAAAAAATTTGGTGCAGAAACCATTTTCACTCAGAAATTTCTAGTAAATTTCACAAATTACAAGTAACATTAAATTAAACATGAATTTTGAAGTAAAAAGTACTTGAATGCAAAGTCGACCCAACGTTTTGATGTATTTTGGAAAGGCTGTACAAACATTGTTACAACTTTTGTGTTGGACTCATATGAAATACATGAGAACTTAAATACTCAAGATGACTCAGTTTTGAATATTCATCTATTTGTATCTGTGTGCAAATAATCAGCTAATTTTGAACTTAAAAATATATGGGTCAAATTGCCCCAACACAAATAAATACAGGAGTTCATAATTTCCCATATTTTATATTTTTTGTCTCTGAAAAGCTATAGAGGTTCTCTGATTTTAAATGAATCTTTAGCTCTTTTTTTTCCCCATAGTGCTGAATTTTGACAAATTGCATGGAAACCAACAGAAGGATTAACGCTGCAATTACATTTACAGAAAATAACTAACGTATGCTTGTAGAATAAACATAATAGTATGATTATAGTCATCATTATAGTTTTTATTCTTAGTGTGAATGGGCCTGAACCCACCATAATAGTGTTTTTAATAATAATAATTCCCTCTAACCAAATTCTTACTAGTAAAAATGCAATTATGACACATTAAACAAACATTTCTTGCATGTTTCTCTTCATCACACTTGATGTTTAACTAGTACAGGAGCTGTATTACAGAAACTTCATCAAATAAAAAATAACAGTTATATATTATAAGATCATCAGAAGAACAGTTTGAAGAACACCATTTATTTGTAATATAAATCTTATGTAACATTATAGGCTAAATGTATTTACTGTGATTTCTGAGCAATTTAATGCATTATTGCTGAAACTATCAATTTCCTAATATATATGACAAGTACATACATATAAATAATCAGAATCACACCTTACACATTAAATTAAATTAAATTAAATTTGTCTTTCTTGACTTCATCTGCAAAAATGTCATCAAGTGTTGTTATACCAAAGTGACGGTAATGGAAAACTTCTGCTGGACAACACTATCCTTGATTCAACTAAAACGAGGATGATTCCTTACTTCAGTTACTAACATCATTTCATCACTTACTAAACTGTGAGGAGACAGCATAAGATTAAACATTAATACATAATGACCGGTGATAAGTAAATGAATATTGCATTTGAAAGAACGTGTAAATATATAAAGATCAAGTAAAGCAGGGGTTCTCAAACCTCTCCTGGAGTCCCACCAGTCCTCTCCCTCATCTAACACACCTGATTCAACTCATCATCTCATTAGTACAGACTGCAAGACCTGACTTGGGTGTGTCCAATAAAGGAGACATACAAAATGTGCAGGACTGGGGGCACTCCAGGAGAGGTTTTACTTCAGGACCCCTGAAGTAAAGAGACAACATAAATGAAGTTTTTGCTCACAGACACACACAGGTGATTTATTAACTTAAGTTAGATTCAATGTCATGTGATCACAGCAACCCAAACTGACTGTTTAAAACAGGGGTGCCCAAACTCGGTCCTGGAGGGCCGGTGTCCTGCAGAGTTTAGTTGGGGGGGGGGGGAGAACATTTGAAAACTGAAACGAGCTGAAATGCAGTAGAAAAACCAAGCTTAAATTAGATTTAGGATTTTTTTATGAATCATATTGACATGACATTCTCACCCATGAAGGCCACTTCATCCCAACACAGTTTCTTCTCCTTCATCAGCTGCTCCATCTCAAACCCATTCTGCTGCTCTCCAAACTGGAGTCCACAGCCAGTCAACTGGGCAACCTTCTCCAGGAGACCCTTGGACAGCGGCTCATTCACGTTGGATATGAGGAACACCTAAACACACAGAAGAACAAAAGTTAAGAATAATCTAATTAAAATGAACCCTGTTTACTTTAAAGGGGTCTTATTATGCTCTTTTACAAAGTCTTGATTTTGTTTTGGGGGTGTACTAGAACAGGCTCTCATACTAGGCTGTTCGAAAAACACATTATTTTTCACATATTTTACATTATTACAACACCTCTCTCCCAGTCTGGCATGAACGGCTCGAATAGATCCTGTATCAAATGAAGGCCCGCCTTCTGAAATACGAAATGTGCTGTGATTGGTTAGCTGGGCCAGTGTGTGCTGTGATTGGTTAGCTGGGCCAGTGTGTGCTGTGATTGGTTAGCTGGGCCAGTGTGTGCTGTGATTGGTTAGCTGGGCCAGTGTGTGCTGTGATTGGTTAGCTGGGCCAGTGTGTGCTGTGATTGGTTAGCTGGGCCAGTGTGTGCTGTGATTGGTTAGCTGGGCCAGTGTGTGCTGTGATTGGTTAGCTGGGCCAGTGTGTGCTGTGATTGGTTAGCTGGGCCAATGTGTGTTGTGATTGGCAGCACTCGGCGCCTGGTCGGGAAATGTCACGCCCCTTACCATAGCCGCCTGCGAGCTTCAGTGTAAATATTGCGTCAAAATCAAATCAATTTGAGCGCGATTTAAACCCGGATGATTGTAACCACTCTAAGTTCGTCTGCCTTGGGAAAGCTAGCGTGTCTCCGACATAGTGATAACACTCATTGCCTTCTCTAGTGCAGCTCAACCAGGTCTCGTCCCATTCGTCGATATTTGTGATATCACAAATCCCGGAAATTATGCGTTGTAGTCCAAACGAGTCGTTCGTTGTAGTTTTTGAAAAGTGATTTCTGTTAAATAAAATATCTCCTTTTGAAGTGGACTTTGAGCTTTCTAACTTTGCAGATCGTTTTTATGCTCAAACAGCAACATTACAGACTAACTAAAGTTGAAAAAGTGAAAAAGCATAATAGGACACCTTTAATACATGTTCATGCTCAAGGAATAGTTCACCCAGAAATTCAAATTTGCTGAAAATGTACACACCCTCAGGCCAGCCGAGATGTAGATGAGTTTGTTTCTTAATGGGAAAAGATTTGGAGAAATTCGGCATTACATCACTTGCTCACCAATGGATCCTCTGCAGTGAATGGGTGCCGTCAGAATGAGAGTCCAAGTTTCTTACAAACACGCAGCTTTTCACTTCATAAGATGTTAATTGATGGACTGGAGTGGTGTGGGTTACTTGTGGATTATTGTGATGTTTTTATCAGCTGTTTGGACTCTCATTCTGACGGCACCCATTCACTGCAGAGCATCCATTGCTGAGCAAGTGATGTAATGCTACATTTCTCAAAATCTGTTCCCATGAAGAAGCAAAGTCATCTACATCTTGGATGGCCTGAGGGTGAGCACATTTTCAGCAATTTTTTTGTTTTTGGGTCGTTAGTGAAATGCTATTGAAAATGGCTATAGGTGTTGCTAGATAGGCTACCATATCACATTATTTGTACCAGCCCACACAACTGTACCTCTATATTTTCTCTCTGCAGCATCTGTATGCCTGCCACGTCTCGAGCATTGATGGCCACATGGTCCTCGCCTGAAACCGATGTGAATATCTGTCCGTTCGTCACACAGCCAGACACTTTACACAGAAACAGCCTGACCGCCGCGTTCTCCTCTCGGCCAAAGTAGCCAAACCTGCAGAAAAGGGTATCGTTTCTATCTTCATTGATGCTTTTTGTCTGGCCACAGAGTTTGTCTAAACAGCTCACCTCAGAACTCTCTGCTCAGCGACAGGCCAGTCGATGTCCACGTCGATATCAACGCTGTACTCAGGCAGCATTTCATAGTAGGCGATCTTGCCCAACTAAAACACACAGAGAACAGATCAAAATATCTGACGAGGTTTCACACACGGGCCATTCTTTAAAAATGTTTTGAATTTAATTCAGGTAATTTTCCTCCAATAAAAGCTAATGGCACATTCTTAAAAATAAAGTTCTTTATTGGCATTGATGGTTCCAGGAAGAAACTTTAACATCAATGGAATCTTTCCATTCCATAAACAGTTCTTCATAGTGGAAAAAGTTGTCTAGACTTTTAAAATGGTTCTTTTAGGAACTTTTCACTGAAAGGTTTTTTTTGGGGACCAAAAATGGTCTACGCCATCACTGCAAAAGCTGCAAACCTTTATTTTTAAGAGTTTATTTATTCATATCTTGACATTTGATTTTTGTTCTTTATTCTAATTTGTTTCACATATTACGAAATTATCATAACATCAGTGATTGTTAAATATCTTTCAATTTCTTTTTTTATTTTTAATACTGTTCAAACTAAAAAAAAATTTTTTTTCAAAAAAAATCTTTCACAAAAACATGTAAACATCACATAAACGTGAACACTGAAAAAAAAACAATCTTTTTGTGCTGCCTCTGAACTTTTACCTTGGTAGTACTTCTCATCTACTTTTTGTATTTTCAAAATTTCTAAAATGTTTTTCCACAACTTTTTGTATTTTCAATGTTTTTAAATTTGATAACATCACTGAACAAATCAAGGGACAAGCATTCTTTTAAAATTGTTTATATTATCTATTATATATTTTGATTATATTTATTTATTATTATCTGGATCAATTTGTGAGTTGGTTTGCTTAACCCCCGGGAAAAAAAACAATATATATACATATATATATATATATACAGTATACATAGTCTGAGTCAGAGTCAGACTACTTTATAGTTTTTCACCTTTATATTACATGAGAACTCAAGGGACAGGTTTGTCAACATATTTTGATAATACCCCACCTGTTTAAGGCTGCTTTCCAAAGCCGTTCTCGTACTAAAATAGAAAGAGCCGTTTTCGTAGAGTTCCCCGTGCCAATCTTGTCGTCGAGGCCTGTGCGCCACGTCAATGTTCAGAGATGTCGGATTCTTACAGTCTAATTAAAATGATCATGAAGGATTGTGTGTCATAAATGTCAAATTGTATTATTGGCCAAGTAACAAACATTTCATGCAAAGCAAAAATTTGCAACTGTTTCCTTATGAGATGTTTTTGATACCTTTCTTGTCCACCTCCTCCCAGCGAAACTGGTGTCTGCGAACCACCGAAAACACATAGTCACAACCCTGTTCAGTGATCATCTGCAGGGCTTCTCTGATGTGATGAGGGTGGAGGCATGGAGACGTGGCCTGAATATGACAGACGATGTCCACCTCTAAAACACCGCCGGAACATAAATGGCCAAGACATTAAAAATGTAGGCCTTTCTGGGCCCTTAAATCTCTCACATGTTGCCATTTTAAAATGATGAAGAGAATTTTTTTTATATTTGTAATTGCTTTATATTCTTGTTCTCCCTCTTTACACAGATTCATACTATTTACTTACAAAAACATCTCAACATTTCAACAATATATTCCTTGTTGAAAATAAATTTCTCTGCAACTTAATATTTACATACGCTGTAAAAAAAAAAATATATAAGTAAAACAAAGATTATTGGAATACTTGGGTGCAAAAATCTGGAATCTGAGGGTGCAAAAAAATCTAAATATTGAGAAAATCGTCTTTAAAGTTGTCCAAATGAAGTTCTTAGCAATGCATATTACTAATCACAAATTAAGTTTTGATATATTTACAGTAGGAAATTTACAAAATATCTTCATGGAACATGATCTTTACTTAATATCCTAATGATTTTTGGCATAAAAGAAAAATCTATAATTTTGACCCATACAATGTATTTTTGGCTATTGCTACAAATATCCCCCAGCGACTTAAGACCGGTGTTGTGCTCCAGGGTCACACACATATATATATATATATATATATGTATGTATATGCATGCTATCTCAGTCTTTCTTCAAAATTTACTTGCCATTTCTTTGTAATTATTTGTGAAATTTACTAGCACTTTCTGAGTGAAAATTTTCAGTGTACTTTTTAACTTCTTAAAATATTTAAAATTATATATATTTAGATGGACAATTGCAATTCTTATAGAGTATTTAAAAATGTAACAATTTCACTAACATGTTTTTACTAAAGAATGTTATATTCATTTTCTGTTCAATTTACAAAAAGTATGGTTTTGTATGTGTTAGGAAAATAATACGTATTATTATACATGCCACAATTTTTTTAAATGTAAAATAAAAAAAATATTATTATGTGTTTTCACAAATATATTTATTTCATTTTACAATTATTTTAACAATATTTATTATTATACATTTTCCCCCACATGTATTGTAGGTGTGTTTTTTTTTCATCAAAAGTTACGTTTTATCTGCTAAGAAAATTTCATTGCAAAGGTATTGTAAGGTAAAAATAGGTTTCTACTATAGCATTGTTACATTCTTTTTCTGTAAAAATTATTTAAAAAAAATATACGGTTTTGTTTGTGTTAGTGAAACTCCATAAATTCATACACACTTCCGCTGGAAAACTATAGCATTACAAAACAAAAATATCACTGCATGGTTTGTAATGTTCATTCTAATTTTTCCTACACTTTCATTTAAACCCGAGAAACGTGTTGAATTAAAACAGTCACTGAGAGTGAACATAAAACTCTTGCTAGATGTCTAGAAGCTGAAAACTATCCAGATAAAGCGAGAAAAAAAAAACTCTCTATAGGAGGAAGAAGAACAAACCTGTAAGTGACACAACGAGCGGAAGGAGGCAGGGAGAACTTAAAAAAGAAGACAAGTTACTTGTGAACTGTTTTTCTTAGCGGAAACTTTATGATAGTGAAATAAAGCCTGGGGTATGAAATTATAGAAATTGAACTTTTTGAACTTTAATACAAAATGTAAAAAACGTTTTAAAAATTTGAACGTGTTATATGTTTCATATCGTATTTGATGCGTCAGGCTTTTATGGCTCATTTAGTAAGAAAATAAGATGCGTTCATAATAGCATAACAAACTACTTACATAAAATGCATATAAATATCAGATGTCACTCTATAGATTATCTCCCAATAATATGTCTAGTATGATATTTAAATGCTTCGATTTATGATATTTTCATTGTGGGGGCAAAACATATAATGCAATGCAATGCAATACAACGATGATTTAAATGAACAAATCAATGTTCCTCAAAAGCTGACGTATATTTGATACTTACATTTTAACATGAATTTTCTAAAAATGAAGTATGGATAATCAAGTAAACTAAGTTGCTTCAGTCCAGTAAGTGTTCATCTTGAAATATTACTGAAGTTATTCTTACATTTACTTCACAAGAATACTTCTGGGATTATAATAAATAGGTATAAACTAGTATAAAAAAGTAATCAGATGACAAAATATTAATCATGTTGATAATTTAGAGGGCTTAGAAATGAATTTAACTTAAAAAAAATACATAGACATGACACATGAAATATTGATCCAAATTATATTCATTCTCTATCTATCTATCTATCTATCTATCTATCTATCTATCTATCTATCTATCTTCTCAGAAAAAAAGGTATAAAAGCTGTCACTCTGGCTGTATCCTTTCAATATGTACCATTTATGTATGAATATGAACACTTTTATTACAAATATGTACCTTTAATGCTACTAAAATGCACCCTTTAGGGGTAAATAAGGTACAACTGTGTTTCTTTTGAAAGGACACTGTCCCAGTGACAGCTTTTGTGACTGCATCTGTCTATTAAACAAAAGAAGGAGTGTTAGACATCATCATTTACAGTATATTGCACTCACTCACCACACGAGAGCAGCAGTGTAACATGATTCTTTTCTTTTAAATGAAACAGCCTGCAGTTTTTTGTTGGGTTTTTATAGGGTAACAGTAATAAGACTTCATGTAATTCATTGAATGTTTGGCTGGCATGTTCAAAACATCTACAAATTCCCCTAACAGATGCATGCACTGATAATAATACAAATGTTTAATGATGAATCTCATCATCATAGATTTTTGCGCAATTTTTGTTCATCATATAAATCTAATAACAGGTTTTAGGAAAATATAATTTCCCCCCTCAAATCATAATCTCAGAACCTGCTCACTTAAATTACAGGAAGGGTTTGAGCTCTGTGCTGTTGCAGACGGGAAAGACAATCTGTTGGATTGGTAGAGTATCAGAGGCCGTGGCCTTCACCCTCTTCTCTGATGTAAACTTCAGGTAACATCAGCTTTTTTAATCCTTCCGACTCTATTAAAACAAGTGTTTGCTGTCCATTCTCTCTCCCTCTCCAAATACTTCTGTTGAGAAACCAATCAGCTCTTCACGACGGATCATGATCAGATAGCAGCGAGCAATTTATTTAGAGCAAACTGTCCACCAAACATTTAATTTCTGTGCCCCCAGTCCCATGAAAAGCAATTTATTAGCTGCCAAGACAAGAGAACCAGTGGCTTTTAAGAAGTAAAGGAAGATGTGAATCTCCTTAGGGCTACAGATTTAATATCTGTGGTGAGGGAGATTCAGACTTTCTGGATGTCAGGAGTGAATCCACACCAGACCGCTCAGACACTTTGTAGGACTTTTAGTATCTACAACAATAGTGCAATTGTCAATGCATACAAATCAATCAATCAATCAATCAATCAATCAATCAAATAATAAAAAATAAATGTTTTAGAAAACAAACAACCTTGAACATCTTTTTGTATCTACAAAATATTAAATGTTTAATAATAATAAAAAAATAATAATAAATAATAAAAATAAATAATTAGAAATCTGCATTTAAAAAATTTACCAAATTTAGACATTTAAACTTGGACACATTTTTGATCTACAATAATAGTTAATGCAAAATAAATAAAATAAAATAATTTGAAAGCTGCATTTAAAAAATAATAATAAAATAAAAAAACAATTGATGGACCAAATTTTAGACATCAACTGTACAAAAATATTAAAATTAAAATTAAACACAAAAAACTTTGATGCAATTTTCAGTGCATACCAATAAAATAATAAAATACCAAAATCATCATCATATTAATATATAAAAATTAAATTATAATTATAATATAAATTCCATATATTGACTTT